TTTTTTTTTTTTTATTATTATTATTTTTTTGTTTAAGTATTTGATTATTAATATTTCTTTTTATGTAGATACGGAGGAAATATTAATGTGCCACTAGCAACACCAAGACCGATTATTTGACATATGTCACTTCTGTCAGTGAATTTAACAATGTTAATAACGAGGGTAGATTTAAATGTGGATTCACTTGATGTCAAATGCAGTTTGTTTTTCACTTTTCCGGGTATATTTTAGTATTTTAAACGGAGATAGCACTAGCACACAATCCACATATATTGTCCAACACTATAGTATTACTTTTGTTTAGAGTTATTTACTTTTAGACACAAAATTGATTTTTGATTATGAGAAAATTCTTATATGACCGCCAACACTAAAGTCGAGATGCAGATTTAGTCACACATTGGTTCGCATTTTGTCAAATGCACAATTCACATAGACAGCATATACACAACTTATTTGAAATTTGAAAATCTTGATTTCTTTCAGAGCCCAAGATAGAAAACCAGTGGCATTCGAGGATTGAAGTGGTAGTGAAAGCTGAACCAGTACCGATGCAAGCGCAGAGCGATGATGATCATTGTACAGACACATTGGCTGATACTCCAGGTAAAGCAATATGCTAGTTAACCAAATTAGGGCCAATTTTTCAATCAACAAATAACTAGTCTAAAATTGACTCTTGACAGTTGTTACTATGGATGAATAGGGATGATGACAGGGTATGATCTAAATATGTAATCCGTTAGTTAGGTAAAAAACACTGGAAAAATATAAAAATTAAATTGGTCATAAAATCAATTAATGATATTGTGATTATTTTTTTTAATACTTTATTGTATTGAACAGTCCAAATAATTTATTTTTGATTAAGGAAATTACCCAATTGTGATAACAATGCGAAAAGTTTTGTTATAATATCTTCAAAGTTAAAAATTCCAGTCCACAGGGTGTCATGTGTATGTGAACTTGTATGTTTGTAAACGCACCCACGACACAGGAGAAAATCCTAGTGTGGGGCAACGTTTAAAAAAAAAAAAAAATCGTGGTGGCCCGGAGGTTTATAAATCCCCCGCTTCTCATGCATGACGGTTTGGGTTCGAAACCTACCAACGGCAAGTACCGATGTGATTTTACGATGTATATACTTTCTAAGATTGTCTAGACACCACTGACAAACGGTGAAGGAAAACATCGTGAGGGAACCTGGGCTTATAATTTCTAATTTTAAGTTTGAAATCGCCAACCCGCATTGAGCAAGCGTGGTGATTAATACTCAAACCTTCTCCGTGTGAGAAGAGGCAATGCTCAGCAGTGGGCATTTACAGGCTGTTGATGTTTTTTTTTTGCCAGAGTCTGTATTTCCTGAAGAGTATAACCTAGGAGTCTTCAAGGCCCGAGTGAATAGGTTGCTTATGGGACGACGTGCTCCATCGTAGACCGCATCATCGCTTACCACCAGGCGAGATAGTGGTCAAACGTTGCCCCATCATATTTAAAAAAAAATCTTCAAATGACTCCTCTCGACTTTTAGAAAAGGTCCAAAGAAAATGATCTTTATTATATTTGGCTACATACCTCGTGTGTTCATAAGTTTTGAGACAAATTAAAATTTGCATATCTTTTTAAATAATAAACTTATATTTATAAAAACAATAACAAACATTAAGTAGATAGTAAGTAAAAATTAAATATAATTATTATTCAAAATGACCACCCCTGTTTTTAATACATGCCCTTAGACGATTTGGCCAGTCATCAATGGCGGCACGAATCTTTTCCAGAGGAATTCGCTTCGCTTCTCGGACAAGAGCTCGCTTAAGTGACTCCAAGTTTGGGTGGGACTTTCGGCAGGCTCTGAGCTCTAATTCGGTCCATAGAGAATAATCCAGCGGGTTGAGGTCGGGGCTGGAGGAGGGCCATTCGTTCGCCGCAATGAAGGCCGGCACATTTTCCTTCAGCCAAGCTTGGGTGGTTTTAGCCTTATGGGATGGCGCCGAGTCTTGCTGGAAAACCCAATACTTGTTATGGAATAGGGTATTAGACAGGGGTTTCACAACAGTCTCTAGAATGTCACTTTGATAATTTTTGGCTTTCACCTTGACGCCTTGTTGGCAGAAATGAAGCTGAGTGACACCTTCGTACGAAACTCCCCACCATACCATGACACTAGCCGGATGATGAGTACGCGAGACATTCCGTGCTGAAGGTGGGACATCCTTGCTACTTTTGGCATACACTTTATTGTTTTGTCGATTGAACTTTTCTTCGACGGTAAAGATTTTCTCGTCGGTGAAGAGTATCTTCCTCGCATCGTGTCTCCTAAGCAGTATTGGACAACGTTCGCGTCGCAATTGACGAAGGCGATCGTTTAAAAAGTGTACTTTTCTACGGCTATACGCCTTAACCTTGAGATCATATTTCAGTATTCTGTTGACTGAAACGCGCGAAATATTGGTCTGCAGAGCGAGTTTCTTCTGAGTGCGACATGGATTTCGGCGAAGTCGCTCTCGGATGATTTTAATGTTCGCAGGCGTCCTCACAGAGCGTGGACGACCACTTCTTTGCCGATCATGTAAAGAACTTGTCTCCTGGTATCGTTTAATAGTGTAATACACGAAGTTACGGCTCACACCAAAACTTTTCAGTTCTCGGAAAATGTCCATAGGTTTTCTTCCCACCTTAAATAATGAAATGACGGTCGCACGTAATTCTTTTGTTCCCTCCATTACGAGAAAATTTAAATAAAATAATCCGAAATCATAGATATTAAAAGTTAACATTCCAAATTCAAAATTAGAAAAAGAAATATACAGCAGCCAGTAATTTTTAAATTATTTTAATAAGCAAAAAGTTTGTCTCAAAACTTATGAACACACGAGGTATTTGTTGTTATTTTAATTTCAGAACCCGATTTGAAACACGATAAAGCAAGCGATGACGATGATCAACCATTAAAACGTCCCGCCACGCCACACATAGAGGAGACAGATAGATTTGTGGAGATTCATGTCCCTCCGTTAGATTCTGACAAGCCTCAGGCGCCGGCGCCTAAAGCGAAAGTGGCGCCATCTCTCGCTATGATGCAGAGGCAAAGTAAGTGAAATTTGTTTTTTAAAATGTGGATGTATGTTTTAAGTTAACGTAACATAACATGACATCACGCCTTTTATCCCCGAAGGGGTAGGCAGAGGTGCACATTATGCCGCTGTACAATGTAACACTCACTTTTTACATGCATGCATGTACTCTGAATGCTATTTTTACAGCTACGATAGGGGTTGTATAGTTTTGACATTGAATTATTATTGAGATTGTATTGGATTGAAATTGCATTGACATTGGTTTCAAGAGTAAGCACCCTGTTCTAATTGAAATACCTTGACTTTGATAGGTCAGCCAATAACTTATATATTTTTGTCCACAGAACTACCAATGGAAAAAGTACAACAAATCATGCGAGAAAGAGACTCCTCATACGTGACAGAGACAAACATACTAACTATAGTAGAATATTCCTTCGTCTGTCCGTTCAAGTGTAGACATAACCACTTACTATGCTACTACTGCGGTGAACTATATTCAGATCCCGAGCTTTTGAGGCAGCATACCCTCAATACACATAATCCAAAACGATTCAAAGTGACCGAACATAAGAAAATGGTCAAAATTGATCTCACTCGGATAGACTGTAGACTGTGTGGCATTAAAATCAATGATTTGGACAGTTTCAAGAAGCATATATCAGAGATACATAAGAAAAAGTACTATTTTAATTATAAAGATTCAGTGTTGCCGTTTAAACTGAGTCGGGATGAGATGAAGTGTGCTATCTGTAACGTCTTGTTTCCGTATTTTCATGCGTTGAATAAACACATGAATGAACATTACAGCAACTATGTTTGTGAAACTTGCGGACTGGGTGAGTCGAACAAAATAATTATTTAAATAATTTCCTTATTATTTGACTCGATCGAGTTCAACAAAACGTCGGTGCGCCTACCAAAACTGTTATGTGCATTTGGTCAAGTTTTCAGGAGGAGACAATAAACTATTTTTTACACTTGCACTGAAAGGTTGATGGACTTAGCAATAAATTAAAAATGCAGTATGATGGCAAAAATTATGATAAAAATAACTGAGATAAAAGTGAAAATGATAACAAGTACTGTTCATCCCCAATAAATGTATTTTCGATTTTGGTGCACATATCAAATTTATTTTAGAAAACGGTAAAAAATTTAAACAAAAACTGTTGATATTCAATCTGCCAAACTGTCTATGTGATGCTGCAACTTCTGACATGTGCGTTTTATGTCACATAACCGTAACCAATCGAACACATAACCAATTTGTCATGGCCAGAAAGTGCACATATAAGATTGGTCTAATCGATTTCTATAGGGAAATAACACATAATTGTTTTTGTAATCGATGCGCTATCCGATTTGAAGGACATCTAGCTAAGAAAAAAAAACTAAATATTTGCACATATCAGTTTTGGCAGGCGCACCGACGAAAATATTATAGAGTTATCCCTGTTCAGTTACCGGATTACTGTAGTTGTCCCCTATTTTATGAGACACTAAACATAGCTTAAAGGAAATTTTTACTCAATTTTTAGATGCTACTGCTTACACCAAGTAAAAAAAAAGACATACATATATACTCATATTGGCATATTGGCATATTGTACTCATGTGTAGGTATATATTATAATTAAATTTATTTATGTATGTATATCTCCGAAATATATAAGTTTATCTTTCATTGTTAAATAAAATCACTGTTTGCCTCTTGCACCTACCATTTACTATTCTCTGCATCACTCAAAGGTCAGACTGGTAGAAAATGCCTGCGGCATTAAGTCCACCTTTTTGTACATTTTGTGCATAAAGCATATTAAATAAATAAATAATAAAAAACATTATTTCCAAAGGTTTCGTCGACAGAGGCCGTTTCGTAATGCACCAACAACGACACGAAGAAGGCGACTTCCCCTGCCCGGACTGTGGGAAAGCGTTTAAAGCCTTATACAATAGAGACCTACACATAGACAGAGTGCATCGTAAGAAGGGACGTGTTTACTGTCCGAAGTGTGACGTCAAACTGATGTCTTACTACCAGAAGTTGAAGCATTTGGTCGAGGTTCGTCACCTACCCTCATTTTATTGTTAATTTTAAATGTATTGTGTATGTTTGTGGCAGTGACGTAACAGTGTGTGTGTGATTGTGTTTGTATGTGAGAGGGGGAGAGAGAAAGAGAAAGGGGAAGAAGAGAGCTAGTGAGAAGGGAAGAATAGAGAGTGGGGGAGAATGACAGAGGGGGGAGAGAGTCAGAAGGGGAAAAGAGAGGAGAGCGAGGGGGCGTAGAAACAGAGAGGTAAGGAGGGGATAGACGTCAGAGGGGGAAATATATCCTTAGTTTTGTTATATTGAATTTTGTTGAGTTTAACTGCTTGAATGCCCGTATAAATTTTTTTTATGGCATAAGCCGGTAAACTAGCAGACGGATCACCTGATGGTAAGCAATCGGCGTTGCCCATGGACACCTGGAACACCAGAGGCGTTACAAGTGCGTTACCGGCCTTTTGGGGATTAGGAGTTTGAGGATTGTTAGGGATTAAGGAATTGGGGAGATTGGGGAAGGGGAGGGTAATTGGGTCTCCCGTAACCTCACTCACACGACGAAACACAACGCAAGCGTTGCTTCACGTCGGTTTTCTGCTCGGCCGTGGTATCACTCCGGTCGAGCCTGGCCCATTCGTGCCGAAGCATGGCTCTCCCACACTTAGAGACACTTATATGACACACAATAGAAAATATATTGTGTCTCGCGTGGATTCTCGTTGAGACACACGACGGGTTAAGGAAGTACCTATGTGTCCATCTGTTTGTTTGTTGAAAGTAGCAGAGCTTTTCTTACTTATTTCGTCCGTAAACCGTATTATCAATTAAAAATTAGGTCCGATGCGACTGACATGTACATTTGTATAAAAGACCCTAAATAAAATAAAGAGAAAAAAGAAAATCAATTAAAAATTGATATCTTTAATTCGCAGGTCCACGGAGAAGAGCCCCTCAGCTTCCCGTGTACGATGTGTGAGCGAATATTCGAAACACGACGGACGCTCACCATACATAGACGGAAGGAACATCTTAAAGATTATAGGTAAGTAGTGGCGCAATGAGACTCTTAAACAGATTCCTGGACTCGAAGCCAAAATCTGATGTGTTGTGTGATCTGACGGCTTACTCTTGAATCCAATTCCGATCGATCGACATTGGTATTGTGAAATTTCGTACTCTTGAGTTGCAACATTAGCGCTCATTGAATCCGTATTGCGTGGATATTGAATGAACTAAATAGTATTGAATTTGGCTTTGTATTCCGTACTCTGAATGCTATTTCAACAGCTACGATTCTGGTTGTATAGTTTTCATAGTATTGATTTTTTTTTATGTCATAAGCCGGTAAACGAGCAGATGTATCACCTGATGGTAAGCAATCGGCGTCGCCCATGGACACCTGGAACACCAGAGGCGTTACAAGTACGTTACCGGCTTTTGGAGGATTAGGAGTTTGAGGATCGTTGGGGATTTAGAGATTGGGGAGATTGGGGAAGGGGAGGGTTTTTTTTTTAAGTGGGGAAAATCTTCGAATGGCTGCTCCCGCCTGGGTGAGGCGGGAGGGATATTCCGATGCTTGAAGTTTTGCAAAAGTGATGTATGAACGATAGTAACTAATAATAATTAAGTATTTACATTTTGTCGTTTATTTTTTCTTTTAATTGTCTGTGTATTAAGTAGTGTAACTGGTATTTGTACCGTTCTATTCAATTAAATAAATGGCCGTTTTCACCACCTCTTCTATACCATCAACTAAGTGTTACTTAATATATGGGAGCACTAAACCTTAATCTTATACCCTTATACTATTATATAAAGCGGACGAGTTTGGTTTTTGTTTGTTTGTTTGAACGCACTAATCTCCGTAACGACAAGTCTGATTTAAATAATTATTTTTGTGTTGGATAGCGCATTTATCGAGGATGGCTATAGGCCATAAAACATCACGCTACGACCAATAGGAGCTGATCAGAGCGTGTGAAACCGCGCGGAAGTATCTAGTTACTTGTATATACTTATGGGTCATGTAACTGATAAAATGTGTGTATTACGTTATTCAAAACAAGCTTCGATCAGCGGCTTGACCCTCGTTCTCGTGGGATAAAAATTAGCCTGTGTGTTATTCCGGACTATAATCTACCCCTGTTCTAAATTTCACCCCGACCCGTTCAGCCGTTTTGACATGATCGAGTAACGAACACACAAACACACACACATACACACACACACACACACACACACACACAACTTTCGCATCATCAATACATCAATACATAGTATAAAACAAAGTCGCTTTCGCTGTATGTCCGTATGTATGCTTAGATCTTTAAAACTACGCAACGGATTTTGATGCGGTTTTTTTTTAATAGATAGAGTGATTCTTAAGGAAGGTTTGTATGTATATACATATTGCACCCGTGCGAAGCCGGGGCGGGTTGCTAGTATACAATATTAGCAGGATATATGTTTAAAAATGCCTACAGTTTTTGTTTTCATTAAGCATCTGAAATTATTATGTAACTTTTTCAGATATGAATGCCAATGCTGCGGCCAAAAGTTCTTCACTCGGTTCGCTCTAAACAATCACATGCCGACACACACCGGCGAGAGGAACTTCAAATGTAAGGTCTGTGAAAAATGTTACCCTCGTCTGAAAACCCTGAAGGATCATATGCGAATACACACAAACGACAGAAGGTACCGATGTCACGTTTGTGGTCAGGCGTTTATTCAGAATTGCAGTTTGAAGGGACATATGAAAAGCCAGCATCCGGAGTATGAGATGAGATAGGTGTGAAGTAGCTTGTTGGAAAAGGGTGGTCGAGTAAAGATAAGTCCGGAAACCTAGGTGGGTTAATCTGGAATGCTGGTTGTGTAAATTTGGAAAGATGGTTGGGTAAATCTGATAAGATGGTTGGATAAATTTGGAAAGATGGTTGGATAAATCTGGGAAGATGGTTAGATCAAACTGGAAAGCTAGTTGGGTTAATCTGGAAAGATGGTTGGCTTAGTCTAGAGAGCTGGTTGGGTAAATCTGGCAACCTTGTTGGGTAAACCTGGAAAGATGGTTGGCTTAGTCTAGAGAGCTGGTTGAGTAAATCTGACATCCTTGTTGGGTAAATCTGGAAAGATGGTATGATAAATCTGGAAAGCTGGTTGTGTAAATCTGGAAACCTTGTTGGGTCAATCTGGAAAGATGGTTGCCTTAATCTAGAACGTTGGTTGGGTAAATCTGGCAACCTTGTTGGGTAAATCTGGAAAAATGGTTGGCTTAATCTAGAAAGCTGGTTTGGTAAATCTGGAAAATTGGTTGGCTTAGTCTAGAGAGTTAGTTAGGTAAATCTGGAAAGATGGTTGGCTTAATCTAGAAAGTTAGTTGGGTAAATCTGGAAAGATGGTCGGCTTAGTCTAGAGAGCTGGTTGGTTAAATCTGGCAACCTTGTTGGGTAAATCTGGAAAAATGGTTGGCTTAATCTAGAAAGCTGGTTGTGTAAATCTGGAAAGATGGTTGGCTTATGATAGAGAGCTAGTTGGGTAAATCTGGAAAGATGATTGGCTTAATTTAGAAAGCTGGTTGTGTAAATCTGGAAAGATGTTTGGCTTAGTCTAGAGAGCTAGTTGGGTAAATTTGCCAACCTTGTTGGGTAAATCTGAAAAGATAGTTGGTTTAATCTGGAAAGCTGGTTGGGTAAATTGTAAATCTGGAAAGCCGGGTGGGTAACTTAAGGAAACTTGATATGTAAATCCGGAAACTGTATATTCATGGAAAAGATCCAGCCATTATTTAATTGGATGAATAGATTTCTTTAACACACATCAAGTTGCTGTCACATATTACCCATTTAAAAGTACCTTTACACATAATTAGTGTACAGACAACCAAGTCATTCAGTTTGCGAGTAAGAAAACAAAGATTGATTCAGTACAGAGACAGTAGGTATTGTTATACTAAAGTGTATACTTTGTAACGAACCCAGCCATCGCGAAGGAGACACCGGGCGTCGGGGATCGCGGGACGATCTCCGGCCACCGTAAGCGCGGGCCTGCGGACGGCTAGCATGGGTGGCTCCCCGTCCGACCAGAAACAGACCCGAGCGTACTGCGCCGAGCGTTCCGCGCGCGCCTCAAAGAGCCATCAGACCACCACAGATGGGGCCCAATACGGCCGATGCCGATTCGGAGTCGCGGAGAACCTAACGGGTAACCGGGGCTCCGGCTTGACGTGCAGGAGAAGGAACGGGGTGGTTTTTAGTCAGTAAAAGTCTGACACTCCCTTCCGCCTCACCCAGGCGGGAGAAGTCATTCGATGACTTCCCCCTTAAAAAAAAAAATACTTTGTACCGAAGCCATATCTTTTGTAACCATTGGTCGGCTCTAGACAACCAATGGTTACTGTCTCTGAACTGAATCAATGTATATTTTGTTACCTGCATACTGAATGATTTGGCTGATTAGATATTTTTTTGCATACTGTATATACTAAGTACTTATTTGTTTATTTAAAATTAAGACATTATTTATTTATTAGTGTTCTTAAGAATTATTTAATTATAAATTATTATTTTAGATGTTATTTATACCGCCCCTTATATATCTAAGAGGTATAATAGTTACGTTATTTTAATTATGTTAAAAATTGAACTGATTATTTTTAATTTTATTATTCGAGGAAATTTGTACATATTTAGCGCTATATTTCACTGGGACACCACGGAGGCGCTACCAGTACCAGTCAGTTACTCAAGTGATGTATTCTTGGTTGCGCAACCAATCTGCCCGCAACCTGGGGGCTTACTCTTGAATCCAATTTCGAACGACATTGGTATTGTGAAATTTCCTACTCTTGAGTTACAACACTAGCGCCCATTTCATCCGTATTGCGTGGATATTGATTGAACTAAATGGTATTGAGTTTGGCTTTATATTCCGTACTCTGAATGCTACTGCAACAGCTACGATAGATATAGTTTTGACATTGAATAATTATTGAGATTTTATTGGATTGAAATTGCATTGACATTGAGATTGGTTTCAAGAGTAAGCACCCTGTTCGGACGACAGCACTGAATGTTAGGCTAAGGACTCACAGTGCGATTTTCCCTCCGCCCGCCGTGGTGAAGGAATGGAGACGGAATTTTCAAAATTCACGAGATTACAGTTTTCTGCAGTCCCGCAGTCGCCCCGGGTTGCGATTATCGCCCTCCAAGTTCGCGGTTGATTATCATACATATCTGTATTGTACAAAGGCTGCCCGCAACCGCAGCAGGCACGGGGGAAAATCGTCCTTAGCCTTACTGGTTGCTCATTCACGCTATTCGCGACACCAATATATTATTGGAAGCAAGTATAACAGCTCACACATACGACCCACTTAGTTTTTAGTGAAATTTCCGTGGTGCTTGGCGACTGGGCTTCACCCAGTGTAGTCTCTTCTTTGTGCCTTTAGGCCTGCTTAATTCATTCTGTCTCCTGCAATAATTCACCGAGGGAAGTGGAAACCATAGTTTTTTCTTCTTCTCCTCTTATAATATCTTCTGATTCACTTCGTTGCGGGAACCAAGACAGTTACTCATGTCCCTGGGACGCGCCGGACTTCAGTGTTCCGGTGTTTTCATGGTTGTATCTACTATAGATCCTGGCTTACAGGAGTTGCAGCGGTTTTGGGAGGTTGTGGCGGGCTTGTCCCAAAAAAAACCGCTGTATGGCGTCTATGACTCACTCAGTCGCCAGTACAATCTCTTCGAAGTCTATTTTGATGTCGTTGCAGTGTGATGTGGCGGCTCTGGTGTCCGTATGGTGTATAGTTTTGAAATTTACGGACACCAGTGGCGCCACTGGTTGCGTCGCCATGGTGTCTCGATGAAATATAGCCTTATTTGTAATGTAAATAATAAATAGCTGTTATTAAATTATTAATATTAACTGTATAGGAATTTGTACTTCATATTCTGGATAGGTACATGTTTTATATGTATAAGTAGGTTTAAAACATGAAATAAATCGAATTTCAATTCATAAAACAATAACTGTTGTTTTTTTAATTAAAACCTTGTAATTTGTAACAACTACACCGGTGACCGAGTTGTCGCAAGTGCGACTGAGGGGTTTTGGGGTCGATTCCCAGGTCGGGCAAAGTATAACTGGGTTTAAAAAAACTCTCAGTAGTAGCACGGAGTCTGGAATTGTGCCCGGAGGGTCACCCCCTGTTACATAGGACTCATAAAAGTAAAAAGTGGGTGTTACATTGTACAGTGGCATTAAGTGCCGTAATGTGCACGTCTGTTTACTCCTTCGGGGATAAAAAGCGTGATGTTGTTATAATTACGTACCTACATACATAACTTAACGCCTCTCTTCCAATCGGGTAAACAGAAACCATAGAAGGCCAAATGGTACCGATGCTGACAGCGCACTTGTAACGCCTCTGGTGTTCCAGCTGTAGCCAAATGCTACTTAGCGCTTGAACTCAAACTCAAACTCAAAAGCATTTATTTCAATTAAACCATAATTTGGTACTTTTGAAACGTCAACAAATATGAGATATATAATCGTCTGTCAGTCTGTCCGTCAGTGAAGCTAGGCGCTCGTTCCAAAATGTCGATTCGAGTGGAGAAGAACGAGCAAGAAAGCTTGTCTACATAAAGAATAGAAAACCAAATTATATGGAATTGACGTAAATTTTGACACTTGTCAGTGTCATCGGTAGACAAGTGCTAAAGTGGCGTTTGGCTAAAGTCACAGGTGTCTATGGGCGACGCCGATTGCTTACCATCAGGTGATCCGTCTGCTCGTTTACCGGCTTATGCCATAAAAGAATTGATGACCGCTGGAGTAGATGTCTTGTGTTCTGGAGTGGAGTGGAGATAGCGTCTAGGCAAACGTAGTGTTGGGCGCCCTCCCTAGCTACGTGGAGTTACGTTTTTTTTAAACGTTGCTACACTAGGATTTTCTCCTGTGTCGTGTTTGTTGACAGACATACAAGATCACATACACATCATACCCAGACCAGAAACAACAATTTATGCATCCCCATCATATAGATGGTTGACAGGCCACAACTGTGTGCTTCTCACGTAGCTTTCTGCCTCGCATAGCAAAACTGTGGAATGATCTGTCGTCGGCGGTATTTCCGAACCGGTACGACCTTCAAGAAAAGAGCGTATTCCTTTTTAAAATACCGGTAATGCACCTGTGTGGCGTTGCGGGTGTGCATGGGCGGCGCTAATCGCTTACCATCAGATGATCCGTCTGCTCGTTTGCCTCCTATTCCATAAAAAAAAACAAAGTGTTGCGGGAACCAAACCCGCTACACGTTACACGGTAGCCGGTCGTGCAGCCACCGCAACAACTGTGCAGTCAATATATTGAGATATGAGATACTAGAGGTTCTAAGAATAAAAACACTGAATATATCATAAAATCGCATGTATTATAATTTATTATTAAGTACATTTTATACGATAAAAATTACTTAAAATATAATACATAATTTAATATTTACAAATTTAAATACGTCAAATTATATTACAATTTTTCGTTTCATTGTAAATAAATCGATTAAGTTACAATATGTCCTATTCACTAAGACTTAGTGTTGCCAGTTAACAAAAATATTAAACCGAAAAAGATTGTAGGTACTGAAATGTACTACATTATATTTATTATACTATTTATAGGTACTTGTTGGCATTTTCGCATACAAAAATAAAAGGTATTGTAACGTATTAAAAAACTGATAACATTGATAGTAAAATTTCGACGCTAAGTGAAAAATATTTTCATAGATTATGAACTTTAATCTTCAGTAATAAAGTTCAAAACTTATTCAAGAATTTCTGACATAGCGACCGATTATCATCGTAATCATTGTCGAGTCTTACTAACGTGCCTTTCGCAAAAGCAACTCCATTAGAGTTAGACATTACAGAAAAGCGATTATGCTGATAGGACTATAATCGCCAGTAGCGCCCTCTAGACAGCGCAAAAAATGTTTAACCTTTATTATTTACACAGTAAACTTCACTATATTTTACCAATTGCCTTGGACATAACTATTTATTGCTTAGATTTTATTTCGACATAACGACGAGCATTTTTGTTTTTCTTCTAAGTTGACACCTCAAGTCAGTAGCATTCCCGTCCTACTCCCACACTAACCAAACATCCGAATTAGAAAGAGACAAAACCTACTCATTCCCCTCATCCAAGCTCAAACTCTGATGCTGCCTCTTCATATGATTCCTCAAATTGAAATTTTGAGTAAAAGTAGCGTTACAAATCAGACAATTGAACTTTTTAAAACTAACATGAGATTGTATATGTACATTTAATCCCCTTAACCTCGGATAAGACTTACCACAGAACTCACATCTGAAGTTCCTCTCCCCAGTATGAGTGGCCATATGTTCTTTTAACCTCGACGGGAGATAGAACCGTTTATCGCACAGATCACATTGATGTTTTAAAACCTTTAAATGATGTCGTCTGTTATGCTCCCTTAAAGATTTTCGGCTGTCGTAAGCTCTGTCGCAATGGTCGCATGGGAACATACGTTCTTCACCATGTGTGTCGATCATGTGTCTATATCTTAGAGAATATGTAAAGAATACAGAGTCGCATTTGTAGCACTGGTAGGCCGGCTCCTTTCTATGCATTTTAGCTTCATGTAAGTATCTACTGTGTTTAGATTTGAATACTTTACCGCAATCCTTACAAGGAAAACATAGGTCGACTTTTTTATGAGTTTTTTGGTGTAATATCAACATGCGTTCTTCGAAGTAATGAGCGCCACAAATATCACAAATACACGTGCCAAAATGTTCAGCCATGTGTTTTTTTAATGCGTGAAAAAACCCGAAATTACTGTCGCATTCTATACACGTCAAATTGTTGACAGTTAGACGGAACTTCAAAAATTCGTTTGTAACGTCAAATAGGGTTATGCCGTGGGCGCTAGTGATGTGCGTTTTAAACGATTGTAGGTCATCGATTGTGTTTGAACAGAGTCGACAATCGATTCTGAATATATCGATTTGTATTTGTTTTTTTATTGAAACAATGTCCTTGAATGCCTTTGGGTCGTGTGTTAGTGTGTGTTCGCGTAATCTGTTTGGGTCCGTGTGTCCTTGCCTACAATATATACAGAAGTAGTCACTAAACGATGAGTTGAACGGACAAACATATGAATTTTCTACTATAGTAATGGTGTTAAAGAGGATTTTTTGTTCGTTGTCTATGTTTCTTTTAACAGGTGGCGATAACGGTTTTGGACCTGAAAAAAAAAATGAGTTTTAGTAATAGATTCGAGTTCGATTCTTTTGCTTGGGACTATTTGTTTTGTATGCACGGGCTGCCTCGTGCGTCGAGTACTAGCAAGGAAGTTTTTATAATAGTTTGAACGCTTGGTGTTATGTATTTTTTTTTTAAATAAATCCTATTTACTTGCTATTTTAAAACGAATGATATTTCTGAAAGTAATAGCATTAATAAATGTTTATTGATGTATTGACAATAAATTAAATCGAAAATCACTTAAATCAAACCAGTAGTTTTCTTATTTATTTATGTTTTTGTAGTTCGGGATTTTTTCACCGAAAGCGAAAAGTTTGAATATATAAGAAACTAGTTACTCTCGGACTAGGGACCTCAGGGGCTATTGTTGTAAGAAATTATAAATAAATAAATAGTATTATCACCTCCCGAGAGGAATACGTCGAGTTACAAGTCACCCTGTATATTTGATGGGCCGTCGTTTGACCATTATCTCGCTTGGTGGTAACCGATGATGCGGTCTACGATGGAGCACGTCGTCCCATAAGCAACCTATTCGCATTTTATAATAACATAACATCACGCCTTATATCCCCGAAGGGGTAGGCAGAGGTACACATTATGCCACTGTACAATGTAACACCCACTTTTCACTATTTATGTTATGAGTCCCATGTAATAGGGGGTGAGCCTATTGCCATATACCGGGCACAATTCCAGACTCCGTGCTACTACTGAGGATTTTTTTTAAAGACCCGGTAATACTTTGCCCGACCCGGGACTCGAACCCGAGACCCCTTGCCCGGCAGTCGCACTTGCGACCACTCGGCCAACGAGGCAGTCAACATTTTATAATAATAGTGATTTACCTGGGTCCTGTACATCATCGTTCCTACTCCTCAACTTGACCTGCCTACATTCAGACTCCACCTTTTTCCGCTTACTAGTCTTTGTTTTTGTCTTTAATTTCTTCTTCTTTGGTGATTTTTTTATTTTATATGACGAATCGCTCGCATTGTCCGCTTCTGAAAGCAAAACTATGTAACTAAGGAATCGTATTGTAAACCTGATAGAAAAAGAGTAACCTATGGAGTTTCTTGCTCGTTCTTCTCCATAGGAATGTACACCTTGGAATGAGTAAATAGCTTCACTTTTATTTTTTTGTTGTTGTCTTTCAAAAATGCCTTTCTGGTCTAATTGAAATATGTAAATGCTTTTCATTCTGTCACAGGAATGCACTGACAATGCCGCACAGCACGCGTAAGTGTGAGTGAGGCCTTAGTACGACTTTGATACGCGTTCGGCGCTCTGATTGGTTGATTCATTGGCGCCCGGCAAATCAGAGTGCCGAACGCGTATCGTTTCGAATACTTTAAACATAAATCACGATTACGATTACTTTGAACGTAAGACAAACTTGTACTAACGCCTCTGATTGGTTGATTCATTGGCGCCGGCCAATCACGAGTGCCGAACGCGTACGTAGAGTGGAAAGTTCCCTGACATCTGAAAAGGAGGATCCTCCGGCCAGGCGACGTGATCGTGTCTGGCGGGCTTTCTGCCCAACAGTTGTTCGTTGGGATTTTCCATCCGTGTTAATTTGCATGTAAACTTTGCATGTGCGATGTAGGATTTTTGTGACGTCATCCGTTGACATCTGACGTGTCGCCACAAATGTAAATAAAACTCGTACTAAGGCCTCTTATAAAAATAACGAGCAAATAGCTTTACTAGACAACCGACTGACGGACATTTTTTAATATTCCAATATTTTGTTTTGACGTTCAAAAGTGTTCAGCCTTCCAGGGTGCTTACTCTTGAAACCAATCTTAATGTCAATGCAATTCCAATCTAAACAATCTCAATAATTATTCAATGTCAAAACTATAAAGCCTCAATCGTAGCTGCTAAAATAACATTCAGAGTACGGAATACAAAGCTAAATTCAATATCAATTAGTTGACGGCGACTTCTCGCGTCCCGTCCTAGACTCCTAGTTCGGGCCATGATGTGGAGCGAGAAGGACTGGGATGCCGTCTCTGCCGGAGGAGGGGCGCGTGAGGCAGCGAAGCTCTGACTCCTCACAACTCAGTCGTTGTGAAAGACACTGGGCGTCGGGGATCGCGGGAGATTCTCCGGGCACCGTAAGTACGGGCCTGCGGACGGCGAGCATGGGTGCGTAGGGCACCAAGCGTTCTGCGCGCGCCTCAAAGAGCCATCAGACCACCACAGATGAGGCCCAATAGGGCTGATGCCGATACGGAGCCGCGGAGGGGTTTACGGGTTGCCGGGGCTCCGGGTCGAAGTGCAGGAGTAGGAACGGGGTGGTGTTTAATCAGAAAGAGTCTGACACTCCCTTCCGCCTTACCCGGGCGGGAGAAGTCATTCGATGATTATAAGGGACCCTTTAAAATATAAAATTTAGTTCATTCATTCATATCCACGCAATACGGACGCAATGGGGTCTAGTGTTGAAACTCAAGAGTACGAAATTTCACAATACCAATGTCGATCGATCAGAATTGGATTCAAGAGTGAGCCTCCAGGTCTAATTGAAATAAATGATTTTGACTTTGAATAACTTATGACAGTTCGCACGCACATTTGTAATGGCCCATCTATAGGCGACGGACTACTGGCACAACTTACCAATATCCTCATCCGGTTGGTACGTATCATCCATCTCACCATCCAAATTCTGGCCTTCACTTTCAACATCCAAATTAACATCAGGGGCTTGGTTTCCATCATCTATAGCTAGCTGGTCATCTACTTGATGAGGTTCTTCAGTTGGAGTACAGTCTTCTGGTTCTGCCTTGACTTCTAGTTCACTCTTGAATATCATGGTATTGGTGCAGCAATCTTCTTCTGAAAATAGTCAGGGATTTGAAAAACATAAATTGTGGACAGTAAGGCTAGAATTTTGTTTAGAGAAATACAAACTCCGAATAAATAAAATTTGAAACCAATTCAGTGAGAATTCAATATGTTCATAACCTCATATTATAAAAGAATAAATAACATTGGGCCTCCGGTAACCTGTCACATAATGAAACACAATACAAGCGTTGTTTCGTGTTGGTTTTCTGTGAGGACTTGGTATTACTCCGGTCCAGCTGACCCATTTGTGCCGAAGCATGGCTCTCTCATACTTCTATGACATCCATTAGCTGTATTTTATCATCAGCACCATTATTAAGGCGATGAGAAAAGACGTTAAACTGTCAAACACCAAGCGGTCACCGGTGACCGCAACCTATTGTTCTATAATTGTGTCTACAAAACCGGTACTCGACGAGTTAATGTGTACTTTTTGTTTGATCCACAGATTGTTGTTCCAGGTCTGGGTGTCATGTGTATGTGAACTTGTATATTTGTAACCGCACCCACGACACAGGAGAAAATCATAGTGTGGGGCAACATTTTACAAAAAAAAACAAACTTACCATCATGTACTTTAATATTAGCACTGAGCAGTATTTCCTCTCGCAGCAGCACCTGTTGTCTGAAGGCGCGCGCGTCCCTCAGCCGCACCACGCACGTTGCACAGATCAGGCGCTCCGACTCCTCGCCCTCCAAGTGAGATAACTAGAAATCAACGAAAGTTTATGATAGTAAATTCTTAGTATAACTTCATCTAAAAAAGGCCATCCTGTTCCTACTCCTGCATTTCGAGATGGAGCCCGGGCAACCCGTTTATAAGTCCTCCATGGCTCCGTATCGGCATTGCCCTATGGGACCCCATCTTTGGTGGTCTGATAGATGAATGGGGCGTGAGCGGATCGCGGAGCGCCGAACGCTCGGGTCTGGTTCGGGTCGAGCCGCCGCTCGACCCGACGCCCGGAGCGTCTCTCGCGACGGTAAGAGCGTGAGGGGGTTTGTTCCCTCATGTACACCGCTTCCTACAGAGGAGCTATTTAACTAGGATTAGGAGCTAGGATTATTCTAGCTATAGAGCTAGCATAACTGCTTTGCAGAAGGAGAAGACGGCATACTACTCCCCCTCGCTCCGTACCATAGTCAGAACTAGAGCAGTCACATCCCTGAGGACACAGCGATGCTCAGCTCACGCAGGGCAGACCGCCACTTTAATAGTACCGAGTCTGAAATATTGTTCAGTATATGGCCGCCATTTATTACAAGGGTCTTATATTAGTTTTAAACATCCACCTAGTGCTTGTTACCATGTAGGTAGGTGTTACCATGGTATTGTGTGCATCTTGGCTCGTAAGAGTTCAAAGGAGTGATGTTATGTATATTATTGTGAAAGGAGACTTGCCTTCTACTATTGCCAAGCACATAGATTAGTCTAATACTTATATTACTTATTATTTAGAGAGATACTTTCTATAACGAAACAGAAAGCAATAATAAATAGCAATATAGTGGACACTTCAACAGTGCTTCATTTTTTTTTTAAATAATAGTAGATGCTATTACTCTGTGCTCCTCTGCCTTACACCTTTACTAAGTAGAAAGCGTCATATTAATTATGTAGGTACTTACAAGTAAACCGAAGCAATCGACAAACATATCGGAATACACTTCTCTTGTTCCTAGCCACTCGTATTCTACGTTTAGAAGACGGCATTTCTTCGTAGCACCACAGCATCGACATAAGCCAGGGTCTACAATAGGACCTTTACGTGTATTCGTAGTCATTTTTACAGAAAATGCATTTAGATCTCCATTTACGGCGAGTCAAAAATATTATTTTGTTAAATTTTTGACAGAAAAACAGAAAAATATATATATGTCAAATCTTTTGACTTACGCCTTTGACAGCTATTTTAGTGATGCTAATGTAGTTTTACGAGAAGTAGTAAATCGGTAAGTAAAGTTCGGTTTTTCAAAAGTCTTACTACCCCACAATAGATGGCGCTGTTAGCAAATAATAGTTATTTAGAATGAAAATTCATCAAAAGATGTAAATTCTCAAATAATTTAAAGGAAGCCAAATGGGCATTGATACTTAAAATCACAAGTATCGGCGACAACTACTGCTATAAATGTAACGAGCGGACTGACCTAAATAATAAAATTATTACAATATTAACTTATGCGCGCGGCTTCACCCGCCCCTTGAATAAAAAGTATTATTCCAGATCATAATCAACCCTTGTTTCAAATTTTATCTTGATCTCTTCAGTCGTTTTTGCGTGAAAGAGTAACAAACACACACATACGTCTTCACAAACTTTCGCATTTTCAGGTTTTTTTTTATATTTTCGACGTTAAGCCACTATTTCGCCTGATAATGATCTTATTACGCTAGAATTGATCTAGAAGAGATTCGAAATAACAATATTGGAATCAGAACGTGTAGAAGTACCTTTGTATTCAGCTACACTTAGGAGATTAGGTAAGGATGATGACAGGGTGTGAAAATTAAAAAACTAATTAGTCCGTCAGATAATGACAAAATATAAGACACGTATTTTTTTATTTTGATGTATAACAGAATGATACTGATATATAACGAATCAAAATTTTAATATTTTTTCTTAAGTTTTACGTTTTAACGTCATATTTGCGTATAAAATGTACATAGAAGTGACGTCACGCGACATTTTAAATCAATATATTTTTGAAAGTATTCGTTTCTGTAAGAAAATAAAAAATACGTGTCTAATGTATTAAAATAATCTACCAAACGAACATAAATTTTAGATAAATTAGTATATAAATTAGTCATATACCTACCCTATTGCACAGACACGAGTTTATGAGTTAATTATTATAAAAAATATTTCTTATTATGTAGGTATGCAGATGTTTATGCAGTTTATGTAAACTTTAGAAAATGAAATTCTTCAAATAAAGTGTGGGAGAGCCATGGTCGACCGGAGTGATACCACGGCCTCACAGAAAACCGACGTGAAGCAACGCTTGCGTTGTGTTTCGTGGTGTGAGTGAGGTTACCGGAGGCCCAATTACCCTCCCTTTCTCCAATCTCTCCAATTCGTGAATCCCTAAAGATCCTCAGACTCCTACACCTCAAAAGGCCGGTAACGCACTAGTAACGCCCTTGGTGTTCCAGATATCCATGGGCATATATGACATAAAAAAAGAATATTAAAAAGTAAAGGAAGGTAGAGAAAACTTTTATCTTAGGAAAGGTAAATAAAACGCCATTTGCCTTTATTTATCATTTAATAATATTATAATTGTTACATGAGATTCCAATTATGATAAATTTCAGATTTTACGCTAACCGTAATCGTTATCACTGGAGCAGAGAGTTACTATTGATCTCTAATGACAGATAAAATACTTAATACCTGAGTAAAACTGAGTTACAATTTTGATAAAATTTCCAAAACATTCCAATAAACTTGTATGATTGAACTATGTTCTATTCTACTTACTAAACATTTAGTGATTATAATATCGTATACACTAGAGTCCAATATATGAGTGTATTTTGAAATTGTAATACGTTACACATAGATCAATAAAATCCACTAATTTGAGTTCATATTATAATGAATTGATATGGAACTATTTCTAAAACATCAAAGTTACACTTACTGAATTTATAAAGAATGTCCCTATAATTGGGACTATTTGAGTCTTCATCAAGTCAGTCGTGAATAAAATTTTACAAAAATAACTTTCCTGAATATTCCATACGACAAATTTTTTGTAAAAGGTATAACACAAATAAAAGAGAAGTTTATACTTCGATAATACTGAGGAGTAAGTTTTAAATACATTATAAAGAGTAAAAAACTCAAAACATTTTATAGTCATCACACTTTAGTTATGTTAACATCATTCTATTTTCAAACATATTTAAATGATGTTGTTATATCTCAATGATCGCAATAGTTGCGTTAAATTTCGCATTACAAGAGCTTTACACTGTGTTACACACCATCACAATAACATCCCACAAAAGTAGGCAATCATTTAACCATCTCAACATCTCAGCCTTCAAGTATCAATCTTAATAAATGTGACAATACCCTGTGACATTAAGCATATCACTCTCAAGCCCGCAAATTTCAATATTCATCAAAAATCTCTCAATCGATACCACCAAGTTAAAATTTAAATAATTACTGATTCATCTGTTGGTTTGGGTGAATCAGTGTTTAATTTATGAGAGTACACAGTCCACATAATCAAGAGAAAAGTGCATTTTTTAAATTTAGATTTGTTAGTATTCATTTTAAAACCTCTACAAACATAGCGTTGACTTTTGGAAATACTTAGATGAAGATTAGTACAAAATAATAATAATAATTCACGACGCCCTGGGATGAATTTAATCAACATCATAGTCTTGTTCAGCATATGAATCATATGCATCCATTGGGCCCTCGTTTCCTGTCACAGGCAGAGCAATGTTCACTGGCATAGAAATGTTTCGATTCAACATAGGGGCGAGATGACCCTGCTGCCATGTCAGTTCCATCGGTACAAACGACCCTGGCCCAGTAGATTTAGAGCCAGATGGATACCCCAACACGCTTCGTTTTGGTGCAGTTTGATCTAGCTCAGATGGCTGGTTTGGTGGAGCTGATTCCTCTGTAAGTGCTTGCAGGACCACCAGTTCCATTGGTAGATCATGGCGGATTCCCTGGTTAGGTGAAACCTTCTGCCTCGGCTGGACCAGTGTCAGCAACGCAGCAGATTCCATGGCAGAAGCTACGTCAGCCGTCACCAACATTTTCATTGGCATGCGCATGGTCATTGGCACAGCCATAAACATTGGCACATTCGTGTTCGTCGATGTCACCATCTTCATAGGTATTGCCATTTTTATTGATGCTGCTCCTACTATAGGTGGAAGCACTTTGGGTGCAGCTGTCGGTACGGCTACACCTGCCGATGCGGTCATGTTTATGGGTATAGACATTACCATTGATTCCGACATATTTAACGCGGAAAGTCTTTTCATTTGCGCAATCACTTTTGTTTGCGTACGTTTTGGTTTTGGCGGCTTGTCAGGACGTGGGTGGTGCTTTGGAACCAGTAGTTGAATTCGCTGTACACCCGATACTCCTGGTATTGGCGCAGCTTGGTTTCCAGAGGCAGATCGTTTGGCTGGAACAGACTCTTGCGAAACGACAGCAATCTGGACGGGACCAGTACGCTTCCTCGGTTTAGCACGTGGTACCTGTGCTGGGGGAGGCATTTGTGCAGAATCATTATTCGGTGCGGGCGCTACTGCTGGCATAGCGCGTTCCTCTGGTACGTGTGGTCGCACAGGCACAATCCGTATCTCCGCAGCCTTTGCTGCCTCTACGGGTTCTTCATTGTCTTCTTCTGACGAGGAAGCATCGGACTCGTCACTATCCACTACTGCAACATCCGGATTAGGCGGTGCGAATTGTTGAACTATCTCACCGCCATCTGCTTCGTTGTCCGATGATTCTGGAGTCAACGGCTCGTAAACCTGATATGTCAGAAACGTTCTAATAAGAAGTTGTCGCCTCTCTCCTTCAGATATTTTGTTGTTGCGGATGACTTCACTCAATCCACTGAAGTTGGCCCAAGCGACTGACTTCACAGTAAATGGGTGTGGTTCTGAGGGTCTATCGAACATTCTCCAAGTTGGAATCCCAATATGTGGAATCACACGCACGGAAGGGTACATGTACGAATCGATTTTGTAATTAAACAGCGATATTGTTGTATCATACATGTTTTTGTACAGCACGAATTCAAGTTCGTAAGGTACATCAGGCCAGCTAATGCGATAGTGACTCCAGATTACATAGTGACATTTTTCTATTGTTTTCCAATAGTGAAGGAGTGAGTTCTGGCAATCTTCCATCTCTGTGAGGGTATGGATACGGTCAATATTGATTGCAGCGATTTTATGTTTCAACATATTAAGCCGCTCACGCTGGTGAGAGATCAGGATGTTTCTCATTTTTCGGTCTCTGGTTTCGGGTTCTACCTTATATGGTTCATCACTGTGATGTTTTACGAATTCTCGAACGACGCCCACTACGTTAATGAAATATTTTTTACATTTTACGAAGTATTTTTCAGTAAAATACTTATCATCTTTTAATTGAGCTTCGCATAACAATAAGTTATTGTCATCGAAGAGTTTCCATAAAGTTTTTAAAGCATTGACTGTTTCTTTAGTATAATCTTCTCTTACAAGGGGCATTTTTGAATGTAAGGTTACCATAAACCTATTCGTTCTTTGAAGCGTTTGACCGATTAGACGTTGGGTGGCAATAAGATCTTCCATAGTCAGTTCGAGCAAGCCCCTCATTTTGATTTAATTTCCTTGAGATATTAAAATTCCTGAACCCAATTAATAATTGTAACAGGAACTAAAAAGCCCCACCTTGAATCTTCTGCCAGAACTGTGTTAATGATCACTATTCGGTTTGATCACAAATCATTTCACTTTGGATTTAGTTTATTTATAAAACAAATCACCTGGGAACAGTTTTGACCATTTTTTTAAAACACTTTGCTCGCAAAGAAAGATTATGCAAATATTTAAGACCAATAAAGTTCTCAATCAACACAGCACACCTTCTGGTCGTCCATCATTAGATATGAAGAATCGATAATCTGACATAACCGGTGCGCGAGTGCGCGCGCACGTTGCGCATTCGTTTCGTTTCTCGACATTGAACAACACTAGCGCACCGCCGCGCCGTCAAGCGATCGATGGCGTCGTTTTACGTTTGTTTCGTGAAAATAAATAGTTGTAATGTGTGTTTGTCTACTCGAGTTAGTTAGTTTTTAGGAATTATTATGAGAAACATATTATCTGTGAAGTTAAGTTAGTAAAACGTAAAAATGGATCCTAAAACTACGGATTGGCGAGCCGGTCCAAATGTTTGTCGTTGTTGTTTAGCGGAAGGGTGTTATAAGGACATTTCTACGGAATATTTTTGGATGGGGAAGCGTGAAGTATACGCTGAAATGCTTTCCGAGACCCTTAATCTAAGTGTAAGTAACGAATTTTCTATATATCGATCCACAATCGCGAAGACGCCACGGCATCCATTTTCTTGGCGATGGAACTACTTTTTCTATAATCCGACCTGTTTGTGGATCTCCGTCCTTTGTGTTGATAGCCTCTTTGCTTGAAACCTATTTCGTTTGGTCGGGTTATAATACCAATCTGGCGAAGATTTGTTGTTTTTTTGTAAAGTTGTTTCAGAAGGAGTTCTTTCGTCTTTTCATCAATAATTTATCAGAATCTGAGTCGCTTATTGGAATTTAGTTGATGTACCATAATGTGGTGTACAATTTACATGTAATCCATGTACCTAGGTTACATTTCTGTAGGGATTTATCTCAGACTATGACTGTACCTAAGAATTCCAAATAATGAAGAATTTATAAGTATATAATTATAGTATATATATACCGAGGAGATGATACAACATCTTAAGTGTCAATAGATGATTGAATATTTGCTATTTGAAGTAAACACATGTATCTTATACATATATTTAGTGTTATATATATAAAGCTGAAGACCCTGTTTGTTTGAATATGAGATAGTGGCCAAAAGTTGGCCCATGTAACATAAGAAAAATGGGCAAAATTAAGGATCTACTGGTCCGACGTAAAATGATTTTCTTGTATTAGATATAATTTATTGAGGAAGGCTATATAATGGTTATAAAACATCCCGCTATGGTCAATAAGAGCTAAGCAGAGAGTGTGAGCCTATAGCCATCCTCAATAAATGTGCTATCCAACACGAAAAGAATTATTCAAATCAGACTTGTAGTTACGGAGATTAGCGCTTTCAAACAAACAAACGAAAATCTAACTCTTCTGCTTTATATAATAGTATAAGATTTCGTCAATGTAGGTATGTTAAAATAGATGGTAGGTAATATTATGTTGACAAAACTGTATGACAAGGGCACGGACCTAGAGTCCGTGGAGAAATAATCTTTAATATTAAAAAAAAAAAAAAAAAAAAAATATTATGTTGACTATGTGACATATACCAATACACACAGCGCCATCTATACCAATAATTTCGTTTTCCCTCGAGAATATCAAATTTTGCCGCGATAAAAAGTACCCTACCATCCTATTATTTAATCCAGACTTCTAACTTTACGTCTGCAAAATTTCAAAGCAATCGGTTTAGTAGTTACGGTGTGAAAGTGGAACAAACAAACAAACTCACTTTCCGATTTATAATATTAGTAAGGAAGTAAGGATACATAGGTATCACACCATGCAGGCTTTTGAAGATCCCTCCAAATTTATGAGTAAACAAATGAATTGAAATATATCATGTTATAAAATATAACATCGTATTGGATGTTATATTATTAGAAATAATGAAGTAAGAAAAACCATATATTTAGCACTAGGTATGACGCAGCATAAATAAATAAAAAAAAAATCATTTACAGATAGCATGACTGACATGACTGACAGTAAGATGAACAATGAGTAAAGAAAAAAAATTAACAGCATGGTTAGGTAGTTGGGCATCTTCCGTAACCTTCCGCAACCTAAACTGGAAGAAAGCCAGCATATATATTAAATGGCAGTCACTTGAGTCATATCAGATTTGCTGACGACTTAATTTTATTATCTGAAAACTCAAACCAGCTACAATTGATGATAAACTCTCTACACGAAGAAAGTCGAAAAGTAGGATTGGAAATTAACATAAATAAAACAAATGTTATGACGAACCACACTAAAATACCATTATATCTTGAAAACCTACCTTTAACCTATGTTGACACCTACATTTACCTGGGAAAACAAATCTCATTCAACCCACACAATAACGCAAGAGAGGTAGAGAGAAGAGTCAACATCACTTGGAAAAAAATCTGGAGTCTTAAGGAAATTCTGAAAAGCGATATGACCATAAAATAAAACTGAAAAGCAAAGTCATGAATACCTGCCTACTACCCTCTCTAACTAAATCTGCAAAAAATAAATAAATTCAACGACATTTTCTTTTTAACAGATTGCCTATTCAAACTCCGGCGGTCCAAACAGCAACAGTCGACTGATATGTGAACTATGTATATCTCGATTACGGGACGCCTCGGACTTCAAGCGGCAGGTCCAGGAGTGTGAGCGGACGTTTCTACGGCATTTAGACCCAGGCAGCTCATCGATGGTCGGCGAGGTTGAAGGTACGAATGAAATCCTAAAAATCAAAGCATTTATTTCTGTTAAACATTATACAGACACTTTTGAAACATCAAAATAAGATTTCTTTAAATATATTTTTTTTAAACATCACGTCTTTTATCTCCGAAAGTGTAGGTGTGGGCGGATGTGCATATTATGGCACTTAATGCCACTGTACAATGTAACACCCACTTTTCACTCTTTATGTTATGAGTCCCATGTAATAGGGGGTGAGAGCCTATTGTCATATACCGGGCACAATTCCAGACTTCCGTGCTACCACTGAGATTTTTTTTTAAACTCAGTATCCCGAACCGGGTTTCGAACCCGAGACCCCTTGCCGGGCAGTCGCTCTTGCGACCACTAAGTATACCATATAAATGATTTTAAATAAAATAACATTTTCTATTCCTCAGTGACTGTGGAGCCAACAGAAATAGATCCAGACGTAAAACTGGAACACGTGAAACAGGAGAAGGCGGTGAGCGATGATGATGATGACTTCGACGAACGATGCGGATTCGATGAAGACGATGATGACGATCGTAAGTTTTTTTTAATTTTTTTTTCTCTTTTTGGCAACCGAGTCTCCAAAACGGTGTCGTCGACTATACTGCTAGTGTCGTGTAGAAACGGCAAAATGAATGGACCGTGTAACTTAACTTTGCGGTAGTTTTTAGTTTTTAGTATCTGAAAGGATTGAGTGACTGCGTCGTTGGCCAAGTGGCCGCAAGTGCGACTGCCGGGCAAGGGGTCTCGGGTTCGATTCCCGAGTCGGACAAAGTACTACTGGGTTTTAAAAAAATTCTCAGTGGTAGCACGGAGTTTGGAATAGTGCCCGGTATATGGCAATAGGCTCACCCCCTATTACATGGGACTCATAACATGAATAGTGAAAAGTGGATGTTACATTGTACAGTGGCATTAAGTGCCGTAATGTGCACGTCTGCCTACCCCTTTGGGGATGAAAGGTGTGATGTTATGTTAGCTGAAAGGACACAATTGGGTTAGTAAACAAAATGGTGTAAAAAATAGTTGGGGGACATACACAACACAGACCGGTATCAGAATAATTGTACATCATTTACACCGTCATATTTTGATCTCATTTTCATTCATAAATTTACATAAGCAATTAATTAATTTGTGGGAAAAGTGGGTTAAAAGGAGGTGGAAACTGATTGGGAGCGGGATTTGGATACTGGGGTCGTAAGTTGATGCTTGTGTTATATTAACTCGTCGAGTACCGGTTTTGTAGACACAATTATAGAACAATAGGTTGCGGTCACCGGTGACCGCTTGGTGTTTGACAGTTTAACTCGTCGAGTACCGGTTTTGTAGACACAATTATAGAACAATAGGTTGCGGTCACCGGTGACCGCTTGGTGTTTGACAGTTTAACTCGTCGAGTACCGGTTTTGTAGACACAATTATAGAACAATAGGTTGCGGTCACCGGTGACCGCTTGGTGTTTGACAGTTTAACTCGTCGAGTACCGGTTTTGTAGACACAATTATAGAACAATAGGTTGCGGTCACCGGTGACCGCTTGGTGTTTGACAGTTTAACTCGTCGAGTACCGGTTTTGTAGACACAATTATAGAACAATAGGTTGCGGTCACCGGTGACCGCTTGGTGTTTGACAGTTTAACTCGTCGAGTACCGGTTTTGTAGACACAATTATAGAACAATAGGTTGCGGTCACCGGTGACCGCTTGGTGTTTGACAGTTTAACTCGTCGAGTACCGGTTTTGTAGACACAATTATAGAACAATAGGTTGCGGTCACCGGTGACCGCTTGGTGTTTGACAGTTTAATTTGTGGGAAAAGTGAGTTGAAAGGAGGTGGAAACTGATTGGGACCGGGATTTAGATACTGGGGTCGTAAGTTGATGCTTGTGTTATATTAAGCTCTTGTCTGTCGATATATGAGACACAGTAAAAAACATATAGTCTCGCGGAGATCTGCGTTACGACACTTTACAAGTTAATACAGTATTTTTTTTTATAGCATAAGCCGGTAAACGAGCAGGCGGATCACCTGATGGTAAGCAATCCGCGCCGTCCATGGACACTCGAAACACCAAATCAAATCAAATCAAATCAAATCAAATATCTTTATTGCTGAACACAGTACATTTTGATGCATTTCAAGATGATATATGAATGCGCAGTTCATCATGTTCCACCAATCAAGGCATGCAACTATTATTCGTAAATTACAATTGACGACTTCCAGATTACAGCAATTTTATTAGTTATGAGTTCAGTCAACACTTTACAAGTTATTACTAAAGCACAACAACATACTTAAAAATTAATAAAGAAAAATTCAACCAAGGCGTTACAATTGCGTTACCGGCCTTTTGGGAATTAGGAATTTAAGGATTGTGGAGGATTCGGGGATTCGGGAGGCTGGGACTAGGGAAAGGGGAAATTGGGCCTCCGGTAACCTCACTCACACGACGAAACACAACGCAAGCGTTGTTTCACGTCGGTTTTTGGTTTTCTGCTCGGTCGTGGTAACACTCCGGTCGAGCCAGCCCATTTGTGCAAGCATGGCTCTCCACAGTTGTAATATTGTCGATTTAATACAGTGAAACTTGGTTAAGTGGGACTTGGATAAGTGAGAAACCTACATAACTGGAACTCATGCTGAGGTCCCAACACTTTGGCACTGAATTACTTCTGTTACTGGGACGAGATAAACCTCTATATCTGGGATTTGTTCTTTCGATTTATCATCATAGTTACCTCTATAACTGAGACAGCAAGTAAATTTTGTATGCATAAACCTCTGTAACTGAGATAACATTGTTTGTTTACTCATTCTTATTCTACCCACAAATTCCATACGTAACTCTAAGTTCACCTCTATTAATGGAACCCTCTGTAAATGAGACAGATATTTATTTATACCTGTATATCTGAGACACTGGGTAAGTGGAATACCTCTATAAGTGAAACAACATTGCAGGTCCCTTGATGTCTCACTTAACCAGGTTTCACTGTAATAGGCTAAGTAGTGCCTCCTACTATAGGACTATGGCCCTTACAAACAATAAAAAATGCGTTTAAAACAGCCAACTTCAAAAACTAAAACAAACGAAAAGTAAAAACTAACTTCAAAAACCAATAACTAAAAATCACTAAAAGTAAAAAATATCTATTATTAGTTATTGGTACATACTTATAGGTTAGAAGTCTGTGACACAAGCCCTTAACATAACTAAGTTAATGGTCAAAGTTACATTTGTTATATCTGTCATAAAATTGTACATAGCTTAATATAATTATAAGGTATCTGTTACGGGTTTAACTGATCAATCCCCAAGCGGTCACCGGTGACCGCTCTCCACTAACTGCAATATAGACCTTATTTCCGATGTTTAGAGACTACTTTTGTATAAACAAATTTTGGGGATTTATATTAGGTTTTAGGGAACAGAGAGTATAGTTCCCTATGATCAGAAAAGGAGGATCCTTCGACCTGGCGAGGTAATCGTGCCAGGCGGGCTTTCTGCCCAACAGTTGTTCGTTGGGATTTTCTATCCGTGTTAATGCTCATATAAACTTCACAAGTGCGATGTAGGATTTTATGACGATTGTGTACACAATTTTTGAAAAGTAGCAAAGACAAATTACAATCTAACCTGCGCCATTTCCAATTTCAGTTGACGATCAACCCCTAACGAGACTAGCAAGCAGGATACCTAAAAAGGAGTCTGTAGACCTCCTAGACCTCCTCGATAACACTAAAGCGACGGAAAAGAGGAAGTCGTCATCGAAAACTAAAACAGTGCCCGCCAAAAAGGCTAAAACTATCAAGAAGGATGTCAAAGCGACCTCTAGCAAGGCACCAGTTAAAACTGAGAAGAAGAAAAAAGGTAAGCATCGAATTTTGAGTATTTATGCATTGGTTAGTTGAGTTGCTTATGGTGATTGTAAAATTTTAGCTTTGGCAGTGTTTCTCAAAGATTTACGAATTAAAAACTTATTTCTTGTCAAATTATGCTATAGTCGGCCAACTCGCTGCGTCGGTTGTCGCGGTATAATTATGTTGCTCATGATTATGGGTCCTTATCGTAGCTTGAAACTAGTCAAGGCAGTGTTTTTACCACGGGTGCTAAGGAAATACGTAGAACAGGTGTCAGACCACGAAACTGATCTTTGTTTTAAAGAATAATATAAAATCTCAGAAGACGTGATGATCCCTTCGCGTCTTCTGGAATTACTATTCAAGATCCCTATGACATTATACCTCCCACGAGACTTACGAAAGATCGTTTCTTTAGATATCCCAAAACTTAAAAACTTAAAAAGAACAATAATATTGTCTTACCACACAAGAAGAACATCATATTGTTGTCCACAAGATATTCGGCGAAGCGTAACCGATTCATAGTGGATGTCCCACCCACACGCACGAAGCGCTTTGCATCAAGCTTCCTTGTGCGTACTGTTAGGATGTGGAATTCTTTGCCAGAGTCTGTATTTCCTGAAGGGTATAACCTGGGTGTCTTCAAGGACCGAGTGAATAGGTGGCTTATGGGACGACGTGCTCCATCGTAGACTGCGTCATCGCTTACCACCAGGTCATAGATCATCACGAGATAATGGTCAAATGTCTGCCCATCAAATATGAAGAAAAAAACAAGTGTTAACTAAAAATAACAGTTTACTCACGTAGGTAAAAAATACTAAGAAAAGGTCTACTAGTTTCAAGTTACAGAGGGACTCTTCCTCATGAGCAGCGTGCGCTGTCGCGGTGACGTCGCGTAGCCTACGTTATTATCATAAAAAACAATGACATCGTCATTAGCAACTCTGCTTACCAACTTACAAATTGATAGGAATTGTACTGGAATAAAATCTTTAATAAGAGAAATAAATAATTTAGTTCCGTTCGTATTTGCAGTATCATTGTAATTCTATGTCTTTAACTGCCGACAAAAAGTTTATAGGCTAATTGGGTACTTGCCAACTAGTCAAATTCAATACTTTTTTCGAACTGCCAAATACGACAGTTTTTTGTGAATTTTCTACGTGACTGTGTATTGTGACGTCTTTTTTAGAGTCAAACAGCATATTTATTTATTTAGTTTTAGTTTCTGGAAAATACTTTAATGAGGTTAGTCATAAAATCAATAAACGTTTATTAGAACAGTCTAAATAATTTATTTTTGATTAAGAAAAGTACCCAATCCTCCGCTAGTGTCTCGTTAGTCCAACACGGCATCCAATGTGTTAATGAAAGTCCAAGTACCTAACCTAATTCAGCAACGCACTGGTAACTCCGCCAGTGTTCCATAGGTATCCATGGGCGGCGTTGATAACTTACCATCAGGTGATCCGTCTGCTTAATTGCCATTAACAGAAAAAAAATGTTGAAATTCCAGTACAAATCTTGTCAATACAACTTATCTAATAATTGCATGATTTAAGTATAAGTAACATATGGATATGTCTCAGAAATGAGTTCGTTTTGCATTCAAATAGATGAGTTTAAACAATATGGAGTATATTATGTTTATTGTATGCCAAACAAGCGTAGACTGCAAAGTAGGTCCATATTTGGTGGTTGTCTGTCTAAGGTTAAAGTTATTAGAATACTTACATAGATTCGATTCCTTTGACTGAATTTTGGTATTACATTGTTCTCGCACAATCGAACCAACGAAACTATGTAACTAGAGAATTGTATTGTGAACCTCATAGAAAAAGAGTAACCTATGGAGTTTCTTGCTCGTTTTTCTCCATAGGAACCTACACCGTGGAATGAGAAAATAGGTTCACTTTAAAATTTTTAGAATAAATGATTTTGACTTTGACTTTGATTATGGGGGTATAAACTAGATAAATAGTATCCTTGACTTGACTTTTAGATATCTCGTTTGCATTAGAAACCGTGAAACTCATAACTTTTTGTTAAAATCAACTTAAATACTACGATTTGTTGCACTTTATATAATGATAGTGGTTCTCAAACTTTCTTCGTCAATAAAAAATTGGTTACAACGCCATCTATTGCATTTTACTCGTATCACCAAGACGCCATATTGGTTGAACTGTCATCTATGTTGCGAAACGGACGTTACAGAGCATCTAGTATTTAAAATGTTTAGTTTGTAAGAATTGCTTTTTGTGTGTCGTTTCTTTGTGTTTCCTTGCAGGGGATTAGGTGCAGGCCAAGAAAATGTTGTGATAATAAAGACGTCGACTTATTTCTTAATAATGAATGTTTGATTATAGGTTTCGTTTACTTTCATTTTTAGACTAGGTGTAAAAGCCGATTGCGTTTCGACTAAGAGAAAATTAACGGCTATGAAAAACGATGTTTTATACTAAATTATTTTATTCTAGTCTAAACTTTGTATTGAAATTGTAAGAACAAATTGTAGATGTTGTCGTTGATTGACCATTTGTGAAAAAATAAGAAATTATAATTAAGAGATGATGCTATCTAACTAGGACACAATGCAGACACGTTTCAATGGTTCGATTCCTGACTTTGAAAAGTAAATGACGTAAATGTCAAGGCATATAACTGAAATACAGCACAGTGCAACGAGCTTCGAAGTAAAACATGACTTCGTTTGGGTTCGAATCCCATTCGTTTTATACAAGTTCCACTCTACGCTTCGTGTTTGCAGGTAAGTCTGCTTACGCCTTAATTATGAACGTTGAAGTTTATTATCTATATAACAATCAAATAATGGTCTATTTTATTTACATTTATAAAATCTATGCTATCTTCTACCCATAGTTTTGTTTGGTTCACAATAAAAATATTCAAAAATGAAACAAAGATGTGCAACTTTCTAAAAATCGCGGGTTACTTACGTGAGTATACCGAGAATAGCTCTACTAGTTTCGAGCTATAGAGGGGTTTTTCCTCATGAGTAGCGTGTGCGGTCGCGGCGATGTCGCGCAGCCTACTGAGTAGTCTAGTAGAGCTTTTCTCAGTATATTCACGTGATTAATCCGCGATTTTTAGTTAATTTAGTATGTCTTACGATAGTTATTATAAGAACTTCTTTGTCCCATGATATCTACATACTTCTTTAATTTACATCGCATTCAGCAGTTGTGTCCAAATTCAACAGAATCGTGTTGTCCCTTGAATTCTTATTTCTGTTGCTCCAAATTTCAACTTTCAACGTTCATATTTAAGATTTAATTTAGTTTGATCATGTTTAAGTAAGCTCTGGTTATTTTAAATGATTTTCGTAATGTTTTTAATTGTTAATTTTAATGATATACATACATATATTTGAGACATATCCATATGTTGGCTTTTTGCCTTTAGCATATCGTAATTGAGTGAATGAGTATTTTAAACTCCAATAAAAGGTTTTTTAAATTAATGTTCATAGTATACTGACATTGTTTAACACTATTTTATATTACTATCATTAAAAAAATAGTAATATCTGATAGATTTTAATTGCACACAATATTCATTCACTTAATTTGAATATGCAATTTAATATACTCAAAGATCAATAGTAATTTTTGACTTTGGAGTTTTTGGACATTGTTAACATGTTGTTAAATTACTATTGAACTTTGACTCCCTACTTGCACTTTAAGCCCGTAAACTGATTTTACCGTGTCTCTAAATGATTTTTTGAACTTATGGGAAAATTTCTCTATGTTATTCTATGAATATAGGGGTAATATACCCCCAGAACTTTGTTTATTCTGATTACTCGATAAATTTAAATTTCTTTAGAGGTTCCCAAAGTTTTGTTTTTAAAAATACTTTTTGTGACGATTTAAATATCGATAAAGATCTAAATGTCAGTTAGTTTTCGGTTGATTGGTAATTTTTTACACAGAGTAGAACCATCGTTATACTCATGTTCAGTGATGAGTGATAGGCGAGTTTTCAGTTATCGGCTTTATTCCATGGGGGCTAAGGTGTTTTTGCACACTCTTGAAACCAATCTCAATGTCAATACAATTTCAATCCAATAAAACCTTAATAATTATTCAATGTCAACACCATACAACCACAATCGCAGCTGTTAAAATAGCAGTCAGAGTACGGAATATAAAGTCAAACTCAATACCGTTTAATTCATTTAATATCCACGCAATACGGTTGCAAAAGGCGCTAGTGTTGCTTCTCAAGAGTACAAAATAAATTTCACTATACCAAATTGGCATTGTGAAATTCCGTTATATTACTACCAATTGGTATTACCAATGTCGATCGTTTGGAATTGGATTCAAGAGTAAGCACAAAGGTAGCACAAATGTAGGAAGGGGTTATCTTGCTGCTAGTTAGTTAGTACTAACTTCACTCTGTTCACACACGCAATCTGTTCACTTGTGAGCACTATAGTCAGAATTTTAATTAGATTCCAGATTTGACAATAGATACTGTAATTTTGTGAAATAATGATACCACATATAATAGTGTAGTGATGAACACAAAAATCGATAAACAATCAGTGTGTATGTTTTATAATAAATGTTACAGAAAGTGACAGGATAGCGATAGCGATGACGGCGACAATTTATAAAATAACTTATTACCATAATACATCTATCTATTTTATTTGTCATGTTCCTTCATGATTACATTTTTTTATTTATTTCACACACAATTATAAAAGAAAAGTCTCAGATCGTTATTTAATCGTCAAAAGTAAATTATCGGTTCAGAAATATTTAATTTCCTGATATACTTAGTTTACGGGAGTAAAATTATAAACGAGAAGAATCGATCCAGAAATATTGCATTTCCATATCGAATAATTTCGCAACGTCACTATTTAGTACTTGTCATAACGTTGCAACACTGAAATTGTCAAATCTGGAATCGAATTAAAATTCCGAGTATAGCTAGTGCTAGTGCTCCCAAGTGAACAGATTGCTC